GGATTAGTTTTTTTAATTGAAATTTTACTTCGGAAGGATGAATAGCTTTTGGGGGCAAGGAAAGTGGGATTGGTGATGTAAGGAGTTCTTCTACTGTTACGGTGTGGGCAGGATGGGATTCCGGATGTGAAATAAATGTATTGGATAGGTGAATGGCGAACTCCTCAGCTTTATCTTCGTCAGATGCTGCCCAGGAGCCATCACCTCGTCGGAGAGGATGGGAAATGCGGTGAGGATTTAGGATTTTTGTTGTGGTTTTCCAAAGGGAATTGTCGCGAGAAGAGAGGGAGGATAGGTAGGAGTTGAAGGATTGTGATCTGAAGGTGGCTAATTCCAGTTTTAATTGTTTGCAGTAGTAATTATAGGAGCAGCGGTCGGTAGGATGTCGGGTACGTTGCCATAATAATCTGGCACGGCGTTTGGTGCGGATTAGGTTAAGGAGGTGTTGGGGTAGAATGGTCTTTATAGGAATTCTGGAGGAGTCTTTTGGAAAGGAGGCAGTCCAGGCGGCTTGTTGGATTGTGGTAGTAAAGGAATTTACGGCACTATCAAGGTCATCGGGAGTTTTGAGGGATATGTTGAGATCAATATTATCGGAGATTATTTGGCGGAAAAGGTCCCAGTTTACTGGGCCCCTAATGAATGACGGTGGAGAAGGTTTGGGAACAGGTTCAAGTGAAACATTAAGGATTAGAGGACTATGGTCAGAGGAAAGTTCATTTAGACGTGTAATGGAACAATTGAGGGGACTTAAGCCGCTGTGGATAAAGAAATCAAGAAGATCAGGATTACGGTTGGGATCTGTGGGCCAGTAGGTAGGAGAGTTGGGGGAAAGGAGGTGAAAACGTTGGGAATTGAGTGCAGACAGCAGGGTTCGGCCACGAGAATTCGTGGTTCTGGAACCCCATTGTTGGTGCTTGGCATTTAGGTCTGCACCCAAGATGAAGTGATGTCCTAAGGAGTCGAGGAGAGAACTGAATTGGGCATTGGATATGGATCGGTTAGGAGGGCAATACGCTGATGCAAGAGTGACCGGAAAGGAGAAGGTTTTTATCACGATAGCGGTGGACTGTAGGAAATCATGTATTGGTAATGGGAGTACGTGATGGGAGAGGGATTGGTGTACAATTACAGCAGTACCGGCATGTGCTTTTCCGTCAGGGTGGTCAGTACGATATGTCAGGTATTGTGGTATATTGAAGTGCTGTTTAGTGGTTAGTCGAGTTTCAGTAATTAGTGCCACATCAATGTTCTTGTCAAGTAGTAAAGTAGATAGTTCGTCTGTATGATTTCTAACACCATTCGCATTCCAAAGGAGAATGGATATGGGTTTAGGGATGTGAGTCATTTAAGGATTTTTCAAAGGAGGGATGAGGTGAGATACGAGATTCGTGAGGAGTGATATGAGTGGAGTAACAAGGGATTTGAAATCGGTGAGGAAAGATGCTAACAAACTTGTGAGATCTGTTGCATTTGAAGGAGGAGGAATATGAGGAATTTGTTGTTGGTGGTTAGGTATATTAGGATGAAGAGGATTTTGAGGTTGGGTTTGAGGTTGTTGTTGTGGCAGGGCTTGACATTTATCGGTTAAAGTCTTACCTCTAAGTAGTTGGGAGAATGATACATCATTGTTTACAATTCTGGAAGGCTCTCTCTCTCTTCTTGTTCTTAGTGCTTCATCTTGAATCCGGTTTTTCTGGTGTCTGGTTTTGAGATTCTTGTAAATTTGGCAGCCTTTGTAGTTGGCCGGGTGTCCCTCCAAGCATAGGGCACATACTGCTGGATCTTGTATAGGTTTGGTGCACTCTACAGATTTGTGCTGTTCACCGCACTTCACGCAACGCGGCAGATGGTGGCAATATGTCTTCGTGTGGCCATAGGTCTGACAATTATGGCACTGCACGATGTCTCTCTTGGGATATGGCTTCTCAACTTTCACCATTGTGTAGTATATTCTTGTGATATCATATATTTTTTCGATACCTGGTGATGGCTCCAAGTCCACGAAAAACAATGGTAGTGGGATCCTATTTCGTAATCCTGGCTGCTCCCTGTCCTCCTTCAAAACGTTTGTTACCTGGCGTACATTGAAACCAAGCGTCGTTAGTTCTTCTTTAATAACTTCAGTGGGGGTTGAGGAATGTAAATTTCTTATCACTACTCGTAAAGCTCTTTCCTGCCTCAGCTGGTAAGTGTGAAAATTCGCATTTGTTTCTGATAAGTACTTCACTATTTTTCGGTAGGCTTCTGCAGAATCAGGTGTTATTTGGTGTCATTGGTCCTGTTAAGGCATGAATAACTGCCAGAGCAGATTTTATTTAGTTGGGTGCAGAACATCTGGAAATTTTTTATATTTTTCACAAATATCGGAGGAGGCTTTGGTTCTCTGGGTATTGCTGCAGACTCCATTACTTCTTGTCATTTTGAAGCACTTGGTAGGGGTTTGGAGTAAAGAAAGGTGATTCTTCAATCGTTTCTTGTGCAGACGTACCTGGTTGGGGCTGAGGTTCTGGTTCTGAAGTGTTCATTTTGGTCACTGGAGGTATTTCTCGTAGGCAGCGACGAGTCCTTTGTTTGGCTGGTGAGCTAACTCCGTCTGACCGAGACCTCTTGGGCACCTTACTGGCCATCACTTGCTGATCATACCGCATATCATAAGAGAAAAATAAATAAATAAATAAAAAAAAAAAAAAAAATTTTTTTTTTTTTTTTTCTTAAAATAACAAAAAAAAAGATGCCAACAGTAAATATCAACTGCTCTGATATACACTTTAACTGTATCACGTGAATAATCAGAGAGATTCCGCTATAAAATTGGTAAAAACTGAGAGAGGAGTTGAGGAGACAACCTTCTCATCAGCTGATCCACTGCCAAATTAAAATTCTCAAAATCGAAACGGTTTTCTTTTCTCTTTTTTATATTAAGTTTTTGTCGAAGTTTCGCGATTACTAATTCATGATCCGACCCACATTCTGCTCCGCGATAAGACCGTACATTAATTATACTGCTTTGCCAGCTGTGTTGTATCAAGACATGATCGATTTGATTTCGTGTTTTCGAATCCGGTGATGTCCAAGTATATTTATGAATATCCTTATGTTCAAACGTCGTACTTTTAATTATCAGGTTTTTCGAGATGGCAAAGTTTATCAGACGGATCCCATTATCATTACTATATTCGTGCAAACTTTCTTCACCAATCGTCGGAATATAAACTTCTTCCCTTCCTACCTTTGCGTTCGCGTCACCTACAATTATTTTCATGTAGTTTCGCGGTAGTTTATCATAAACCCATTAGAGTTTATCGTAAAATTCACTTTTGACTTCATCGTCACTGTCTTCGGTCGGACAATGTATGTTTATTAATGCGATTTTAAACCAACGTCCCTGAAATGTAGCTACCGAAATTCTATCACTAAAGAATTGTACGTCCCCCAAAGCGGATAGTAACCTACTCCTAATTAGAAACCCGGTACCTAAACAATGATTCCCGCTTCCTTCGTATCAAATAGTGTACATTCGTTCCCTCATCGAGCCTTCCCCTGGCCAGCGAACCTCTTGCAGAGCCACGACATCCAAATTGTACCCATTTACCTCATTCGCGACCGATTTTAGCCCCCCTGCTGTGTTTAAACTCCTTACGTTCCACGTACCAATATTTAAATCCCTATATTTCAACTTGCGCCATGAATCCCCTAAAGCAATCCCCACCCGGGGACCCGAACGGGGGACTAGTTTACCTCCGGATAGTGAGCGTTTTAACTTAGGGAGATCCATGACTATTTGTGGTGTTTGGTGAACTAGAGATATGTGAGTAGGGCGTTCAATCCTACGTCACGCCCTCCAGCAAGTCTGGAGGGCCCCTACCTCCAGCAAGTCTTTGGAGTAAGACGTATATGAACATTGGGCATTTAAGCCCTATAAAGTGACATCAATGGGGATAAGACCTAAATGATATTAAAGACCACTTAATTATACAATGATACACCGAGTTTAAACAAAATCGCGGTTGCCGTTGTTCAGAAAATTGTAAAAATGTGTTTCACCGTTGATATAAAGTGGCAATCCGGTTAATCGATTTTAACAAAAATGTTGCTGTAACATCCAAGGCATATACCTCTATACTTTTTATATTATACCTATTTTATGCTAGACTGTTCACATACACATAGACCATTTTGCGGGGGTAATTCCGTTGAAAGCTCAGATCAGAAAATTTGCACGATCGCAATACTTTCCCTCACTATATATTTCATATATAGGTAAGTGAAAGTACAAATTGATGGGACTATACCATAATGGAATAATGATCCATATAGAAAATGAAGTTATTAGAACATTTGCAATATGCCTTAATTCCATTTAATTGATTAAAGTACATTTTAACGTCACATTTCAAGCTATGTCTATTAGTCTAAAGCGATGTCTATCTTATCACGTTATAACATATTAATATCAAGAAACTTATTAATGAAACACCTCGATTCCGATCGCCTGAACATCTTCAGTCAAAACCTTTTATGTCAATTCAATTAGGAATGTACCTTGGATTGACATAAGGGATGGATTGACATTCGATCTGATTAGAAATCTGAAGTAATGTGGATTATATTGGTGTTCGCTAATACTTTCGAACAGTAAAATATTCAGTTTCGCAACAGATAGAATTGAATCCGGATATATTAATAAAATGGTGTTCCAGTTTGGCTCAGAACGATCAAGAAAAAATAACCATGCTGAAGTACTTTCAAACCACAAATATTTCCGTTTTATATATTCCCTCTCTGCAGTCTTCGGGGTGTTCCCTTTCGTCCTGCATAGAGGTCGCTACAGGAGATCATATTTCTTTGGTCTTCTTTCAGTAATAGGCTGCTTCTTGGTCGGATTTATTGCAATTAGGGTAAATCGTTTCTTTATTTCCATGAAGTCGATGTGGATAACATTTCTTCAAAAAGCAAATATGGTTTTACTCTTATGCTTTATAAACAGCTTGTCCATCATGCACATCACAACAGCAAGCACCTCGATCTGGAGAGCCAAGGCTGTTAGTCAGATTATCAGTGTCCTGGAAGAAGTAGATGCCCTTATGAATACCCGCTTGAAGATGGATTTCGGACTATCGGATATTTTGGCTTCTTCATTAAACTTTCTTGTCGTTTTCTGGCGCTGGTATACTGCTGAGGGTATCATCTATCCCTTGTATTGCTCTGTTCTCTCGATAAACCTATGGTTGGCAATAGCTCAGTTTTCAATTTTAGCATCTCTAATAAACCGCAGGCTAGAAACAGCTTGCGAGGCCTTGGATGAACTTAAGATGAGATCCGATTCGCCTTACAAAGATCAGAAGGTCGCCATACTCTCCGATGTCCACAACAAGCTCTGCGACGCCGGCGAGATCCTCCATACTGCCTTCTCTTGCCTGCTCACCGTATTGGTCGCTGTGTGCTTTGTAGGAATCACTGTGCTTACCTTCTATATGTATTCGATCAATAAAAAGATCAAAAACTTTGACATTCGTCAAATACTTTTAAAAGATGACAGGACATTGTGGTTTCTGTCCTTTTGGACCATCACCTGGAAAATTGCTGTCTTTTCATCAGTACTAGCTCAAAAGGTTGTCAAATTACCTAACTATAATCAAAAATCTGGTGCGGTGAACATCACATGAATCTCATTTACCAACCTTGCTAAATTTCTTTTCAAAGGGGACTACGGAGAAAATAGTTATCTTTCTCTTTTTCGATTATCATTCATTCACAACAGAAGACCAAAACGTTTGGACACAACTACATTTGGCTGTATCTTCTTTTTTTTTCTCATTTCCTATGAATATCCAACAATATTCAATGGTTACCTTCTCGCAAAGCTCCTGGACACAACCTAATTACATCCCAGATCCTAAAACTACTTCATCGGAAAGCCATTCTATTCTTTACTCATATATATACTAATTTTGCTTAATTACTTTATTTTGTACTTATTTATATATACGATCCACATCTTTTCCTGACCCTTGGAAACAATCCATTATCAAAATTATACATAAACCCAAAAAGCCACCAGAATACCCATCCTCTCACCCTTCTATCTCTCTTTTACTCATCATAGGCAAAGTCCAAAGAAAATTCATCCTAAAACGCCTGTACCCAATCTTAGATTATAATTACATAATCCTGGATAACCAGTTTGGTTTCCGCAGACCCCATTCCACTATCCAGCAATGCCAAGTGATGGATGTTGTCTCCTCTGCACGAGAGTCTTTCCCGATGTAGAATAAGAATTTGATCGAGTCTGGCAGCCTACACACTACTATACAAATTCCGTAAATTGCTACATCCTACATACTTCAATGTAAATCACAATAATGTTTATTCATCCCTCATTTTCCTGTCCGCTGGTGTTCCTGAAGGCGGTATAGAAGGTCCTACCCTTTACACAGTTTATGCAATTGATCACAGGCAGATTTATGGGGGAGGCTTTCGGGCTGAAGCCCCCTCCCCGAAACGGTGAAGTATAACCATGTTTATAGAAAAAAATATAAAAAACTATCTCTTATAGTTATTATTGTTCGTGTAATTACATTTTATAGGACTTCAAGAATCACTTAAACACCATTTCTTTCTTATTTTTTTTCAAATTAATTATCGTTTTATTTATGAAAAAAAAATCTTTCGGGTTGAAGCCCCCCCCCAAAATTAAATCCTGGATCCGCCAGTGCAGCTGGCATCCCAAAACTGTCATTACCACGTATGCCGATGACAATGATCCACCTATCAGTTAATAATGATCTAACCATTGCATCCTACACTCCTCAATCACACACCACAAACCTTGAAGAATTGTGTCAAAACTGGAGGATTAAAATAAATTATAATATATCCCATCAAATCACCATTAACCTTCGCCGTAAACCTATGACCTCCTGTCCTACAGAATCATTTAATATTACCCCTCTTATTCCTGTTGGACAAATCCGATACCTTGGACTCCACTTGGACAAACGTCTAACTTGGAATCCTCATACCACACTGAAACGATAAGAAACCGCTTGACGTTTCCGATTGCTCCAGCATTTACTAGGCAAACGCTCTAAGCTCTAACAAAAGAATCATATACATGACTACAAAAAGAACTATTTGGACTTACGGAATTGAGCTTTGGGGCTCCACTAAACCATCGAATTCCTCTCATATCCAATCCTTACAATCCAAAATCCTAGGGAACTTCAGAACCATCCGAATCCTCTCGTCTCTAACTTTGCTGCCTCTTCTATCCCTGATATTATAAATACATTTTTTTATAGTGCTACCAGTGAGTAGTTTCTCAACAAGTGATTGCATATTATTGTTTTCTGTTATCAAATTTACTAAATGTGTTTTATTTCTTATTACAGTTGTAAATATCATAAATAAATAAATATAAATAAAGATTTTGTAGGGAACTCTGAAAACTTATCTTAAGTAAAATGAACCATGAATTTTGTATTTATTGGGTTATAATAAGGAGTCCAAACGTTCTCATTCCAGACGCTTATTAACGTGGGATAGTCCCAATTTTTAACAAATTGTCCCGCGTCCTGCTGCGTTTTAAAAATTCCTGGTTTTTGGAAAGAATGCACGATAGGCTGAGAAACGGAAGAAGAGACAATAAGAGTCATTAAAAGTGAACTTATGAAATTTAAGGTCCCATATTACTTAACAGAGGTTCGAGCCCAGCACTTAGTAGAAATGTGTAAATTTCGTTTAAAAATCTGAAAGACAACTTGTTTTGGAAATAAATTATCACGAGTGATGAAAATTTGATATATAAAAAAAATAAAATCTAGCAAACTTAAGCAGTGGGGAAGGCCAGGTAAAGATGCATAAACGAAGGTTCGCAGAGATCGGTTTACGAAAAAATAAATTGGGTTTGGTGAAACTTCAAAGGCGTTTTGTATTGAGCTTGTTCCTGATGGTCGCGCAGTGAACTCAAACCTTTATTCGCAGAGTTTATGCAGTTTCGACTGAAAAGTACCCCGCCTTGGTCAACAAGAACCAAGCCATTTTAATACACAACATTGCCTCTGCACATCAGTAGATATAAAAAGCCGATCCTGGAACAGGTCCTCGGAACAATATGGGGGCGCCCATTACCCGCTAAAAATTTTAGCTTTTAAACACTGCTATGTTCACTTTAAACCGCTCAAAAATTGTGAACTTTAAACACTGTTGCGCTCACTTTAAATCGTTCAGTAATTTTAGCCTTTAAACACTGTTTCTTACAATTTAAATATTCTAGCCTATACAGATTGTTTCCTTCATTTAAAATTATTGAAGCATTAAGAGGAGGTGAAAAGATTTAGTAAGTTATTTCCTTGAAATAAGTAATTTTATTAAAAGTTATTAGTTTTTCGCTACTCCCCGCTACCTTATTTTTCCTTATTCGTTAGATATTCATTATACTAAAGTATTTAGCTTTTCAACATCATATTATATATTAATTCTATTACTTCCGAAAATATATTTTCAACTGTGAAAATACTTCTCACATTATCATCTTTAGTTAACTCTTTTTACAAACTTTTTGGTTTAGGAAGTCAAGAATCTCGTTGTCCTCATTATTTAGAAAAATATACCAAAAATTATATTCCTAGTGTTCTGATTTCGATGAAACATTCTTCGTTTTTAAAGAAATTTTTAACAAATAAGAAAAAAAGACACACGGTGATAATACAGTCACATGAAAACGCTTGTAGAGAAACTAACGATTGGTAGCACTCTAATAACATATATACATCAGTAGATCGCGAGGCCATCTTCTTTTCAGACGCCTTGGAGGGTAATATCAGTGATCGAAGAGGAAGCAAGGTTTGACAAGAGAGGGTTCGGATGGTTTTGAAGTTTGTTATAGGAGGAAAGGTATCTGGATTGGGCTACATTGGAAACATATGGCCCGTTAAGGTCGTTATGAATGATTTTATTTGTGGCAAAGTAAAGAGCATTGAGGATTTTGCAAAGAATTTTGGATTGTAAGGATTGGATACGAGAGGAATTCGATGGTTTAGTGGAGCCCCAAACCTCTAGGTATCGGATTTGTTCAATAGGGATAAGTGGAGAATTGTTAAAGAATACTGCAGGACAGAAAGTCATAGGTTTACGCTGAAGAGTGAAGGAAATTTGATGGGATTTATTTTAATTCTTCAGTTTAACACTATTCTTCAAGATTTGTGATGTTTGATTGAAAAGTTTGGTATGCAATTGATGGATCGTTATTAACTGATAGGATACATGTGCCATCAGCATATGTGGTGATGATAGAGTTAGAATGTCAGCTGTATATACTGTGTAAAGGATAGGACCTAGGATACTACCTTGAGGAATCACAATATCGACATGCTATCCCCTGAATCTATTATATTAATTCCATTAGGAATGTGGATCACGACCGAACAATGCAATAGATTGACATTAGATCTGATTAAAAGGCGGAATAAATTGATGTCCGCTAATGACTTTCGAGCAGTTAAATATTCAGTTTCGGAACAGACACAGCTGTACCAGTAGGTAACCTCTCTTTGATAAAATGGCGTTCGGTTCAAAACAATCAGGAAACATTCAGCGTACTAGAATATTTTCAAAACACAAATATTTCCGTCTCATATATTTTCTGTCGGCGGTCATTGGATTATTTCCTTTCACCTTGCAGAGAGGACGATACAAAAGATCATATTTCTTCTGCGTTCTATCATTAATATCCAGCATCTTGGTCGGATTGATTGCATTTGCTTTCAGCTTTGCCCTTATTTTGTCATACTCATACGTATTCACATCAAAGGGATCAGAATATCTTGAAAAAGCAGATAAAGTTACACTCTTATGCTTTGTAAATAGCTTGGCCATCATGCACATCACAACAGCAAGTACCTCGATCAGGCGAGTAAGGGATCTTCGTCAGATTATTGGTATCCTCGAAGAAGTAGACGCCATTTTAAACATCCACTTGCAGTTAGATTTCTGTCTGTCAGATTTTTTGGCACTTTCTTTAAACTTTCTTGTCATTTTTTGCCGAAGTCATCGTGCCGGTTATGAAATTGGCGAAATACTTTTAAGTGTTATTCTCGTATCAAACATTTGGTTGGCAATGTCACAGTTTTCCGTTTTATCATCACTCATAACCAGTAGGTTAGAAGAAGCTTGCGAAACTTTAAATGAACTCAAGATGAGATCCGATTCGCCTTACAAAGATCAGAAGGTCGCCATACTCTCTAATGTCCACAACAAGCTCTGCGACGCCGGCGAGATCCTCCATACTGCCTTCACTTGCCTGCTCACTGTAATGATTGCTGTCTGCTTTGTAGGAATCACTGTACTTACCTTCCATCTGTATTCAGCCCATGAACGCAACGAAAACTTTGATATTCGTCTTTTGCTATTTCAAGATGAGAAAGTATTGTTAATTATTTCATTTTTTACCACCATCTGGAAGATCGCTGCCTCTTCATCAGAACTAACTCAAAAGGTTTTCAATTTACCTAACTATATATACAAATCTGGTGCAACATAAATAAATTTCACTTATCAACCTTATTAATTAATTAAATTTCTGGTGAAATAGGACTGGTTGATATTCAGCGGGGTAGCTCAGTGGTTGGGCAATTAGTTCTTGATTCTTGGTCCCAGGTTCGAATCCAGCTGATGACTAGTAATTTTCCATTATCCGTGGGTCGTCCCTGGGACCAAGAGACCCTCCTAGGGCAAACTCAGCCTCTATAAAGTGGGTACTCTTAATTAAATAATTAATTAAGGGAGAAAAATTGGCGGTTGAGCGGTGAGCAACTACAACACTTACTTGACAAACGCTCTAAGCTTCCAATATTTTACATAAAAAAACTGATATACACTACCATCATCAGGCCCATTTGGACATATGGAATAGAACTCCACAAAACCATGGAATTCCTTCCATATCCAAAATTCTCCGTAAAGTCCTTAATGTTCCTTATCATGTCACAAATGAAATTTAATACACTACCACGAGGTCAACAACAAGATACCAACCCACAATCCATACCTTTTGTAGCCCTGATGAAGACCTACAAAGTGGATCGAAACGTCGGAGTAATCATTAAAATACTATAGTAAAAATTTAATATTTATTTGAAAGCATCTCCCGATCATCTCCCTCTCATATTATATCACAGTCAACCGTGTAGACCGTTGTCAACCGGCTCATATTGTATATTTCTACATCATTGTGAATACACTGCCACGGGGTCAACAAGAAGATACCAATCCACAATCCATACGCCGCCTTTATATCTTTTGTGGTCCTGATGAAGACCTACAAAGTGGGTCGAAACGACGGCATAACCATTAAAATACTATTGTAAAAATTTAGTATTTTACCTCATCCCCGACCAACTCCCTTTTATATTATATTACGGTCAAAAATCTCAACATCATCACAAATAAAATTATTCATAAAGACCTCAACATTCACTTTGTTGAAGACTCGGCCCGAATTAGATACTCCACTTTCACTTACAAACTCTATTGAACCCTTTAAGTTCATGACCTCACATTCAAAACAATTCCAGATATTCCTCCAAGGAGTATGAAAAAAAGATGGCCAATGGACCTCCTATATTAATTTAATTTTTGAAGAGCTACAAATGGGTAGTTTTTTTATTAGTTTTTATCATGTTTTAGCACATTTATTTATTGTATATATTTGTTTTCATTATTTTGTGTTGAATCCTGCCTTGCCTTTTAATCAATACGTGTGACTGCAGTAGTAGTTGTTAGGTTGGTCAGCTTAACATCTCACTACAGTAAGAAAAACTTGATCATCTGTTGTTTCTTGGTTTTCTTGAGTGATTTTCCTATATTTTTCATACCAATGGTCCTGTAGCCCCTCCTCTTCTTAGATTGAAATGGACTGGACCCCCAGTGGCTTTCCACCCGTACACACAATCTTTGTAGTACGAGTAGTTTTCTGCAATGACTAACTGAGGGAAATCGTTCTGTGTGATTTATAGTTTTCATAGATAGTGCGGTCGACTATGATGTGCTCAGCAGTCTTAATAACACCATAGATAGGACATAAGGGTCGATGTCCGTCCCATGGAAATGAAGCTTTGCTCGAAAGCACCCGTGGCCTGTGTGAAATCGCGAGAGCCAGTTGTCCGGAAGGACCCACTTTTCTTCTAAACGTAACCGGATGGTAGGGAAGTATTTTCTCAAGGTATGTCCTTTTCGGGTTATCACCCACCGCCGGTTCTATTCTTCCATTGTATCCTACCGTATAAGTAAACGGAAATTTGCGTGGGTTCTCGTCAATTCTTACCTTAAGGTTTCTCGGCATATCTGCTGAGCCTTTTTGCTTGAACGTATGTTTTATCATGTCTTCACGCAGAAGAAGGTCGATAGGTACCCCTCCTGCTAAGACCTCATAGAATACGCCTTGGTGACTCGCAGCAAAGCCGTCCGCCTTCGTCAACTTATTCTTCTGTCGGTGAGACGCACTCGGTGGTTCCAGGCGGGGAACGCATACCTAAAGATACTAATAATCACTCCCTTAATAATAGTTAATATTGCTGGTGATTGTATATATGTATGCAGTGGTAAATACCAACAAATGGATAAAAAAAAATATTTATTTACACGGGACTAGACCCCTCTATGGTTCAGAACGCTCATTTCAAAAAAGATAGCTTGACACACACCCTATATGGATATGAAAGCCTTGGAGAGCTATCGCCTAAACATTTTATGTTAATTCCATTAGGAACGTAGCTCACGACCGAAGAATGCGATGGATTGACATTAGATCTGATCAGAAATACGGATTAAATTGATGTTTGCTAATGACGAATGCTTAAAATATTCAGTTTTAGAGCAGATACAGCTTTACCAGTAGGTAATATTGCTTCAGTAAAATGGAGATCGGGTCGATCAGGAAAATCTGAGCACACTGAAATACTTTTAAACCATAAATATTTCCGTTTTATATATTTCTTGTCGGGTGTCTTCGGAGTGTTCCCATTCACCTTGCAAAGAGGTCGCTACACGAGATCATATGTCTTCGGTGTTCAATCAGTAATAGCCACACTCTTCGTCGTATTTCTTTCAGTTAGATTTAACAGTATCTTTATTTCGTCTTACTCGCAAATAAGGGTGTTAAAATTTCTAGAAAAAGCGGAACAACTTTCACTCTTATACTTTGTAAACAGCTTGTCCATCATGCACATCACAACTGTAGGCACCTCGATCTGGAGAGTCAGGGCTCTTCGACGGATTATTGTTATTCTGGAGGAAGTAGACGCCTTTTTAAACATCCATACCAAAATGGATTTTGATCTATCAGAAATCGTAGTCACTTGTTTAAACTTCCTTGTCCTTGTTTGGCGATGTTATAATACCCAATATATCATCTATACAGTGCTTACCGTTATTCTTGTAACAAACCTATGGTTGGCAATAGCTCAGTTTTCAGTTTTGGCCTCTCTCATAAACAGCAGGTTAGAAGGAGCTTGCGAGTCCTTGGATGAACTAAAGATGAGATCCGATTCGCCTTACAAAGGTCACAAAGTCGTCATACTTTCTGATGTCCACAACAAGCTCTGTGATGCCATCGAGATCCTCCATACTGCCTTCGCTTGGCTGCTAACTGTATTGGTCGCTGTGTGCTTTGTAGGAATCACTGTATTCACTTTCTACACATATGGAGTCCTAAAACGGAATGAAAACTTTGACATTCTCCTACTGTTCCAAGACGAGACAGTATTGTGGGTTCTTTCCTTTTTTACCATCACCTGGAAAATTGCTTCAGCTTCATCAGAATTAAGTAAAAAGGTTGTCACATTACCTAACTGTATATAAAAATCTGGTGCGACGTGTATCAACTAATTGAAGTGTTTTTGCATATGGATTAAAATATCTCAAATATTAAAAATCGGACCTGCATATTCTCAGTGGGAGAAATGATCATCATTTCATCCTCTTTTTTGTTCTTTTTTTTTTGGCTTTAAGACTTGTACAAGCAAGTCCTATTTTGCCAATAAAATATTTGAATTGTCATAGTAAGATGAAATTACACTGGATATTTATTAATTATTTATAGATAGATGATCACTGAATGTAACTAAATATTGAATGTAACTTATATGGAACTTATACTAGAAAGACTAATAGTTAAAAATTGAGGTGAATTAGAATTAAAATTAAATGAGAATAAGAGGCGACTTTTATTATATAACTGCTTTTATGTCATTCAAAAACTTTATCAAGTCACGGGCGTTATCTTTGTTCATCGACCGAAGAAAATTAGCTCCATCATCCGTAGTTTGCGATCCTGAACTAATTCTTCTTCGCTTCTCGAACCTTTTACACTTGAAGGCAATGTGTCTTGGACCCTCCAAGCATTGGCGTGTTCGGCAGTGACCACTCTTAGCTCGACCCATTAGATGTAGATATTTATTAGTTCTACCATGATTTATCCTAAGCCTGGTCAGCTTTACTAAGCTGGAGCGGTCGAGATGAGATTTAAGAGTCGCAAACCATGGAACCAGAGCTATCTTCTGTTGAACTGTATGATGGTCCTTACCCTTCGAGGCACATTGCAAGTCGTAGAAATGCTGCCAGTCTTTCATTATTTCTCTCTCACTACTCTTATCAAATCCAGTAAAGGGACCTTCGCATTTATTCGGTATAGTTGGTTTTGAATTGCCGTTTTGTCTGCCATTTCATTTCCTGATATTCCTACGTGTCCCGGCACCCACTGGAAAAAGTAATTGTTGCTGGCGTTATATATTAGTGATATTATTTCATCTTCTTTGTAATTAACTACTATTCAAAACTTTATCTTAACGCGACCCCGTGTGGGACTCAGAAATCAGTTTTACCTTAAGTTTTGGCTTAATAAATGTGTGGCCATCCATACTTTGAATCCAATTAGTAAATAAAGTAGAAAAAATCATATTACTTGAAAAATTTAATCTTGTATTTTACAGATAATAAAAAAAACTCACGATAATTGTATTCTATTTTGTCACATTAAATACATGCACTTTAAAACGTCATTTTTATTACTGTTCTCGATAATTTCTTGACATTACACTCACAAATTTATGGATTTACGTTTTTATCCTCTTTGGAGGTGAGGGTACAGTCAAGGATTGTTCCTCCATGGTACCTCTACCCTCAGTAAAGGGTGGTTCTTGCTTAATGGGTACTAGATTAGGGGGCCTTCTTGATCGACGTAATCGGCAACTGGCACTCTGTTGAGGCATTTCCCTAGACACTGGTGGCAAGTTGTAGAATACGTCAGCATTGCTTTTCATAATCCACATTTGCCAATTAAACAATCCTTGGTGCAGCATTGGTGAAATCAAGATTCTTAGTCTGACAAGCCCAATAATGGCATTTTTTTTTCAATAAAAAGTTCATTTTTAATTAAAAGAAAAAGTGAAAATAATCCATCGAAGAATTGTTTTTAAGAATCGATCACCTCTCTAATTAAATCGTTTCGAATCGGTACAGTTAAAATATTCGAATTTTCCATCT